GTCACCGCCGACACAGGGATTACCGTGGCCTTGTTTAAGCGAGAGACCGGGGGGTCCACCGCTGGCGGAGAAAACCACTTAGACACAAAGGCCTCCTCAAAGGGATAGCGAACCGAGAAACGCTTATGGACCACAAAGGACTTGGTAGGCCGCTTCCACTCCTTATAAATAAAGTCATCGAAAAAGGGGATGTAAGGAAACACTTTGGCGGAACGCCTACTCTTTTGCGTCCCAAACTGCACTGGTGGCAGCGCGGAAGAGCAAGCAGCATCATCAATTTTCAGGGTCTCGCTGACAGCGCGGAGACCATCTCACGTTCCTGAACCAGGAGCGTAGACGCGCCCTCATCCTCACTGGCCGAATCAGGCTGCAAAGAATCACTAGGATCAGGACGCGGCGACGTGGTGGGAAGTTCCTCTTCCTCCTAGGGCAAACAGGTCGCACAAAGAGGGGACCTAGTGGGGTCCGCAGAGCGCAGCCCACAGCCCTCGCAAGTCAATGCAGAGGAATCATCCCTGCGATCCATGGCATACTCCACACAAAACCGGCCCACAGACCGGAGACCACCACAGGCAAGAGAGAGAGAGACCACGCAGTACTCACGACCCCCAGCGTCACTGTCTCAGCCCAGTACCAGCTCCGACTCTGCAAGGTGGAGGAGAGCTGCACCCTGTGTCCTTCTTCTGCGGCGTCCCAGGCCGAAAGGAATACACTCCCCATCCGCCCGAGGCTGAGAGGAAGCCTGGGCAGAAGTGACATGCTAGAAAGGGCGCTTGCCCACATCCAAGATGGCGGCCGCGGAGCCGCCTGGAGGCCACAACCAGACCAGGGCCTCGAGTAGCGGCCGCGGCCGCCGAACAAGCAGTAGTGATTGAGGGCCGCAATCAGACCAGGGCCTCGAGTAGCGGCCGCCGTACGTGCGGCGTCAGCACACGCTGCAGCAGCAGAACACCCCCACAGCCCTTAGCCCCACAGCGGCAAACCCCCACAGGAGCCCAAGCCACCTACTGGCCCAGCCAGACTGAACACCACAAGGTAGGAGGGAGGGGGGAACAGACAGCCAGGAGATGCAGCTGTGACAGAAACAGCGCAGCCCCAGCACAGCATCTTACCACCCGAAGATGCCACAATCCCCTCGACAGTCACCACCACCACATACATACCCCCGCAGGGAAACGGTCAGACTCCAGGCCCTTCGAAGATCCACAGCCAGGACGAGCAGGGGAGCGGTGGACACAATGCCCCCGACCGTAGTCGCGGCGCCACCAGCCTGCGCGGAGTGCTGTGACAGGTAGGCCAGGACCTCCTATCATATGCACCCGTCGAGAGGAACCAAATGTCGCAGCCGACCCACCGTGGCAGAGTCTGCATGCGCTTGTCGGTCACGCAGGGGAGACTACAAGGATCTACAAACATCCAGTGTGTCGCCCTGGTGACACTTGCTTGAAGAAACAGCAACAAAAATGGAGGAAAGGAAAAAATTTCCAGAGAAAACTTTTTAGCTCCTTACTCCTGATGCTAGGCAAAAAACTGGAGACTTGTCAGCAAGTGGGGGGTTGGGCCACCCCTATGCTGTCTTGTCTTTAGTTTTGTGCCTAGGAGTCCTACTCCTGCAGGTGGCGATATACCCTACCATTGAGGATCTACGATCTGTTGCCCTGTGTCCTTCAATGAACGGAAATAAATAATTATTTACAATTTAATTGATGCTGGGAAGTATAGTTTTTGCTATACTTCCAGTGCTGCAACACGAGAGCTTTGGCTGTCCTACACAGAAGCTGCACTGTTGTTTATCTGTCCCTCCTCATCCCTTGTCCATTCAAAGAACACTTTGGGGGGAATTTATCAAAACTGAAGCATGCAAAATCTGGGGCCATTGCCCGAGGCAACTAATCAGTTTCTCTCTTCATTTTGTTCAGTTCAGCTTTGTAAAGGTGGCCATACACTTTACAACCATCGCAAGACCTTAGTCTTGCGATGGTTGTAAAGTGATTAAAAAAACGTACGATCTGCCCATCTTGGACAGGCAGATCGTACTCTCGATCATCGCAAGCCCGCCCCCCTGAGGGGGGGGGCTTCTGATGACCGCAATGCTGAACGGGCAGTGTGCGCGTGCGCACACCGGCCCGTTCGCCATGTGTCTCCCGAGCACCGTTCAAACCAGCCGTGCTCCTTAGACAAAAGACGTGCGACCGTACAGTAGAAACGGTCGCACGTCTCCGTTCACACTGCTCGATTCTCGTACGATCGCGGGATTTCCCACGATTCTCGTACGAGAATCGAGCAGTGTTTGGGCACCTTTAATGAAAGATGGAAGCTGATTGGTTGCCCTAGGAAACTGCTCCAGATTCAGTAGGCTCCAGTTTTCATACATTTCCTTCTTTATATTCTGTTGAATCATTGACAAAATACAAAGCATTCTGTGAATGGACAGGAGAGAGTAGGGGTGGATAGTACGACTTCTGTGTAGGAGAGCTGCAGCAATCGTGTTGCAGAGTGGGAAGTATAGCATAGGTGGCATCGATGTATTTGTTAATGATCAATCAAGGGTAGCAATCCAGGAGGTGGTATACATCTTATTATAGATAACTATTTTTGAATCAGATTTAAAAAAATGATATAGTTTGAACATCCCACATTCTAGATGGTGGCAGGACTTAAACAGATAGTCCAAACAAATCTTATTATGCAATTTATCTCATTTCACACACATTTTAGGGGCATATTTATTATGAATTTTATGGCAAATTCACCATTCTTTTGTACACATTTACCCAATATTGACTTGGCAAGATTCACCCTTTTATGAAGTACGTTCATTGTACACTCACCGAATATTCACCGGGTATGGAGCATATTCTCGGTATCCAAGAACATCCGTTTCATAAATGATGTGCAGGGAGTTAGTGTGAACCCAGTTTGCCTGCGTTTGGCCAAGCTTGTGCAAAACTGTGACTGACGCCCCCCCCCCCCAAGATCCGGGAACTCAGTACAAGGATGGTGGGATCTCCTCATAATGGGCAAAGCAGGTGTGCAGACCTGGAGATTTTAATCAACTGAATCGAATAATTGTTGCCGCTCTAGTGCATTCCAGAGCAGTAGCTGCTGGAACACACCACGATCGCTGTGAAACTTCCCCCCTCGTTTTGGGGCGTGCAGTGCATTGTATTCAATGGTACCGCTTCCCCGCCCACAGTGCGACTGAACGCGCGGCAAAACTTTGCCAGCTTTTCGTTACACTGCAAACGCAAAAAATAGAGCTTACCCTACGCCGGGGCGTACTGATCATTCGGCCGCGGCTGTCACCGCTGCTCACGACCAGTCTGCCTGCATCAGATGCGGCTAACTAATCGGGCCAGCAAAACAAATGACAAACGCACTCAACAATTTGTCACCAGTTGTACAGTAAGGTGCACATGAAATGGGCTTTGAACAGTAAAACAGCAGAAAGGTATCATGGCACACTCACAAACCAGCATGTATAACAACTTGTCTCATCACTAGGTTAATAACAGAGGTTTGGATACACGTCTTCGGCTTTCACATTTTCTGCAGAAGACGTGTATCCAAACCTCTGTTATTATCCTTAGTGGTGAGACAAGTTGTTTTACATGCTGGTTTGTGAGTGTGCCATGATACCTTTCTACTGTTTAACTAATCGGGCCGCCGCTTGCTCCTCATTGGAAGGCCGCATCTACCTGATCCAGCCAGCCCGGATCGCTTCGGTATGCGATTCGGGCTGGCTGGATCAGGCAGACGTGGCCGGGAGCAGCAGTGACGACCGCGGCCGAATGGTCAGTACGCCCCGGCGCCCCCCCTTCCTCCTGATTGGAGTGGAGGTGGCCGGACCGCTGACTGGCCGGTCGGCTGGATCAGAGAGGTCACTCTCTGACTCTCACTGCCCGGAGAACGCGATGCATCAGACATAGCGGGGCGGCTGGGCTGAACACAATCAGGCTGACAGTGTTCGGCCCAGCCCAACGGGCAAATGCCCGGTATGCCCTATGGCCAGTCCAGCCCTGTCTATGGACCAAAAACGCGCTGTATATGCCTCAAAGTAGCTCATGAACTTTTCTGTGCAACAGGCGTTTTTTTAACAATAAAAACACGTTGAAATGCCTAGTTGTGAACAAGGCCTAATAGTATCTGGAGTTCAGCTTTAATTATGAGTAAAGCACGCCTACAGATCAATGAACACTTTTCACTGCAAAGCATCACAGCGCCCCCCTCTTCATAGATCAAAAAGTGTTAAAGAAAAACTTGGAAAGAAAGTCTAAACCCTTGCAGCGGGACCACCCCTGCACTGCAAGGGTTAAGTGCTCATTTCTATCTAGGTTCAAAAATAAAGTTATACTCACCTTATCCTCGGAGGTGGCCAGCACTTGGACCGGATCGGTCCCTTCTGCGTCGCTCCCCCTCTGCTGCAGCCGTCTAAGGTCCCTGAGTCATCATGTTCTATACACAGTGTATAGGGACGTGAGGACAGAGGGGCATACCATTGCCGCAGTGGGGAAGAAGACAGGCTGGAGGGAGCGCTTTCACAGCCAGCCGGATCCAAGGTTCAGGTGAGTATGACTTTATTGCTTTTATCCTAGGCACAAATGAGCACTTAACCCTTGCAGTGCGGGTCAGCCCTACTGCAAGGGTTAAGAATTTTTTTTCCTCTCAGAGTTCTGATTTAAAACCGACTGTATAGTTTACAAAATTATTAAAATCTCAAATAATGAAATAAACTGAGGAATCCAGCTTCATATTATTATGTATATATCATATGAAATAAGAGACATTCCACTAGCAGAGCAGAGCACACAACAACACACGCGAGGCATACAGATCCAGCGTCATGCTATGTTGTCACATGACAGGTCAGCTCCAGGAACCGTTCGCGGTCATGTGACAGGGGGCGTGGCCTGACCTCTAGATCATAGCTCGAATCAGACTATGTAAAATAAAATAACATTCATGTCGGTGGTCTCGCTGACACTGTCACACCCGCTACGCCGCTTGTGGTGAGAGATTTCGGTTGGTCCTGACAGGCGCACGGCGGGCAGCCCCGTGGGGTCCTGACACACATGGCGGCTCTGTGGCGGTGCTCGGCTGGGAGAAGGGTGACAATTGCGCACAGTTGTAGCCGGGGACTGGCAGGTACACTGCGCTGGGGTTCCGGGCTGTCATAGCTGTACTAGGAGCGGGCAGGCGCTCTTTCAGTTGCAGGGCATGCTGGCACTTGTAGTTCCAGAGATTAGTCCTACTTTGACCTGGCCTGCAATAGGGAGGAGTATCACTGTAGATGGGATTATGCAGAATAAAGGCCCTATGATGTGTTCCTGGGATTCAGTTGATCAGTGTTGTGGGGTTGTTGGAAGAGAACCTGCACTGACAGATATGTGTAGGGTCATGTTGCTGATCCTTTTTAAAAAAAATAATGGTATTTTGCGGCCTGTCATGTTCACCCCATGGCTTCTGTACTGGCAGTGACAGATGATAGGGTCACTGACCTGGATCCACTGCTGGGACAAGGACAAAGAAGGTTGCAGGTCTTGCCCTTAAAGTGCCCCAGGTGGTTGCCACTTCTGTCTACTGTTCCAGGCCGGGCCAAGAAGTTTTGATCAGGAGTTGTCTCATTTGCTTGTTTTGGTTTAAAGTCAATCCTAAAGTCAAATCATTTTTTTCCATTTTGGATAGAGTAGGGAATAGCAAAATTTAGGTAGTTTACACCATCTGTGCCTCATGGGGATATTTCTCTTCACTTCCTGCCCTGTACCACTTAAAGGAGAACTATGAGGCGAGGTCTTTTCACTCACCTCATAGTTCTAGCTGACCTGTGACAATGAGACTGTCACAGGTCGGCTCAGTAGATCGGGAGGTGAGCGAACACATACCGGCGCTCACTCACTTCGATCTTATCACGGCTCTCTGCCGTGACAGGGGAGGGCTGGATTCCCCCCTCCCAGCTCCGATCCGCCAGCGCTGACTGGCGGACTGCACGGGGGAGGGGGCGGGTACAGCTGGCTCTGCCTCTAGATAGGCAGAGCCAGCTGTCACTCACGCAGCTGGGCGGATCCAGACATAATTGTAGGGATCCGCTTCAGCTGCAGTGTCTCAGTATACCGCGAGCTGTAGCTCGCGGTATACTGAGCTTAGGTTGACGAGCGGACGCTAGTTTGTGTCCTCCCGTTACCCTTAGGAGAACTATGGGGAAAAGCCCTGACCCCCCATAGTTCTCCTTTAATAGGAAGTGTGTGAGCCTTTGATTACTGCTTTCATGCTGAAAACTGTCCTGTCATGCTGATCTAATGACTTCAGTAGTTCATGAGTCACTGGCTGGGAAAATGCATGCTAGGGCTGCAACTAATGATCATTTTGATAATCAATTAGTTGGCTGATGTATTTTTTCCAATAATCGGATAAAGAAAATTAAGTACCATCCTTAATATAAAATAAAATACACAAACTGAGTGTTACAAACAAAGTTTACTTCAGAGTAAAACTGCATACACAATTTTTTTGCAATCGCACCCCACTGGAACGCATGGCATTGCAGTACTGCGCATTCCGGAGCCGGTGATCACACTGTGGGCGGGAGGCGCGTTTAGTGTGCCATTGAAATGAATAGCACTGCAAAACACTTCCCGCACCAGAATTTGTCAGGCTCAAATTGTGAATGACATTTTTTTTTTACAAGGGGGGGGGGGGGCTTTATTTATTTTTTAACTTTTTCTTTTATTATTTTTTTTAACTTTACTGTCAGGGGCTTTGGGGGAATATCAGGAATTTCCTTTTTTAAATAAATGTAAAAAAAAAGATAGTATCTGTTTACTAAGTTCACAATCATGAATGAACAAGAAGTGAGGTAGAGCACTTCCTGTTCATAATTGGGGACACAGTATCTGAATACTATGTCCTCAATTATTTACAAACACAGTACTGCAATGTTTGAATATCACAGGGAACGATCTGCAAATATTTCACATATTTACTAAACGTCCCCCTTTTCCGCACCTCCCCACTTCAGGCTTGGCCCTGTCACTGCTCTCCGCTCCCCGATGGGTGCTGATAGGTGGATCGGCTCCGTGCCCCCATCTGATCCCCGCTGCCTCTGCCGATATAGGCAGGGGAGAGCAGCGGGTATCGAAGGGGACACAGACTGCAGCAGGCTTCCAGCAGGGAGGAGAGAGCTACAGAGCTGATGCGGTTGGGAAGGGGGGGTTTAGGGGAGCTCTCACCGCTGGGCACCAGCTGCAGGGGTCTGTGTCTCCTCTGGGAGTGGCGGGGATTGGAGGGGACACAAAGTCCATGAAACACCAGCTCCTGGCACGGAGGAGAGAAGCAGGAGATCCACACCAACTAATCGATAATGAGAATCATTGACAACGATTCTTATTATCGATTTAATTCGATTAGTTGATTCAGCCCTAATGCGTGCAGCCATTAAATCTGAAATCCTTATTTGCATGCTTATTCCAGGTCTGTATGATCATGTTGGAAAGCCACTGGATCAGTATGACAACTGAGAAACTAGAGTTTTCACTAAAAGAGGTTGCCAAAAGTACACCCCAGATTTTACTCAACATGGATGAAACTACAAGTATGGAATCGGTCATATGTTCTAAATAATTTAGCTCATTGGTAGCTCTAATGTCCAAAGCGACCCTTCTCAAACTATTTTTAATATGGAGGAACCCTTACAATTATTTATGGGTTTTATGCTGGCCATACACCTATAGATTATCTGCAGATTTTCTGTGGTCAGATGGAAAAAGTGCAACAGATTCCTCCATCTACGCTAAACTGTGTGGATGGAGGAATCTCCCACTGGGCCAAGCTTAAGTATCTTGCTAGTCGGCCCCGCTGGCTCTCAAAACACCTGAACAATCTGATTGGGGCGGACTAGCAAGATACTGAAGCTTGGCCCAGCGGAAGATTCCTCCATCCACACAGTTTAAGTAGACGGATGAATCTGTTGCACTTTTTCCATCTGACCACAGAAAATCTACAGATAATCTATAGGTGTATGGCCAGCTTTAGGGAACCTCTGCAAAAAATGATATCTACAGCTCATGGTACATTAGCATGATCAGTAAGTTGTATATGATAATAATAAAGAAATATTGAAAGTGGCATACCTAGCATATTTGACACACAGGGTTAATAATTGTTTAATATCTTCCCACATTATACATCATCTTATAATGATAATCAAGAAATTACACAAATAATTATAATAGAAATCAGAAAAAGTTTCCTTTTACATTGGTGGTCAAGGGGAGAGGTGCTCACTTACATTGGTGGTGAGAAGGAGAGGTGCTTCCTTAAATTGGTGGTCAGTGGGATAGCTGTCCCCTCACCATGGTGGTCAGTGGGATAGGTTTAGATTTAGTATAGATTGTGGGTGTGTACATTAAGCTTGTAAACATTGCTTGTGTACCCGCCCACATCATCCTTAGTACACGCTCACATTTTGTCAATCAAATGAGTATCTTAGAGATTCAGAGCAAGATTTCAAGACTCTCGGGTCCGCCCACTTCAGCACGCAGTGATGTAGTGACGTCCTCGCTGAATTCTATAAAAGCATCATTTTCAGAGCCAGTTGGCACTGATTGGGCAGATATAATTGATCAGGGCTTATTGGTCAAAATAAAAAATAAATGATTCCTTGATGATAGGGACAGAGTTAGCTGTCTGACACTCTTGGTATTTTTCTCTCCCTAACATGGAAAATGTGGCTGAAAATGTTATGTTAGGTTAAAGAACTGGCGCTTGTCTTACTAAACCTTCCCTACCATCTGAGCCCCATAAACTCTGCTTCCTATGCAGTGTATGTGGACAAAAATGTCTTGTGATGCCATTGTGATATTTACACAGAATTGCAGAATGTTTTTTATTTTTATTACATGTATATGTATATATATATATATATAATTTAGAACTATAGATCTTCATTTTGTTGAAAAAGAAAAGCACCTAAAATGTGTGTGGTGGTATAAACTAATAGAACTGAACAGTCAGTAAATTATGATTGCTTTGGTTATCATGTCATCTTCTTTTTTTTTGTCCTTCAGGTTTACATTATGATTATGATTTGCTGGTGATTGGCGGAGGCTCTGGAGGTCTGGCCTGTGCCAAAGAAGGTAAGACTCTTGTGTTTGTAACTGAATGGTGAATTCGGCATCTGGTAAATGTACAGATTTTCGTTTTGCCCAAGTTGCGGGGTAGACATGTCATTGTGTGATTCTGCTAGTCTAGGAGATAGCAGTCATGTAGGGTTTTTTTTGTTTGTTCCAGCATAAAATATGAACCTCAGCTGGACAGGTAACAGCTACTCCTTGCTATTCATGAGTAACACTGACCAGTAGTATTCTTGGATCAGTAGTGAAATATTTTTCTGCATAGTTTAAAAAAGAACTCCAGGGGAAATTATTAATAACCCTTGCAGTGGGGCTACCCCCACACTGCAAGGGTTCAGTGCTCGTTTTGGTCTAGAAAGGAGAATAACAGAGAGTTATACTCACCTGAGTAGATTGTATAGCTCATGCTATATTTCCTGCCCCCTGCTGCTCTCATACAAAGAAACAACAAAGCCACAGGGTCATTGCTTCACCCCTTCCCTCCCCTTGCCCTTTCACAGAATACAAAGCATTTTGTGAATGGGCAAGGGCAAAGGAGGAGTGGATGGAAGACTTTACGGCTTCCACATATGAGAGCCGCAGCTGCAGGGGGCAGGTAATATAGCATGAGCTATACAATATTGCTAAATAAAGGTGCAAATAGACTAGAATGGCCAACAATCCTAGCTGTGGGATGCACCTTATTAGAGGTATCTTTTTTACGTAAGTAAGGCCTAAAAGACATTTGGATGGAGTTCTGCTTTCATTTCCTGGAGGTCAACTTTTAGGTACGGCTATACTTTTGAGCTTCCCCCACCTCTTCCTATCTAGTGTACCCAACCCAGACCTCAGATGCAGCACTGACCTGCTTTACACTGCCCGCCTTTAAATTTTATTAGGCATTGTTCATGTTCATTTTTCCCTGGGCAAATATGCTGCAATGAGCAGATGCAACTATAGCAGGGGTAGCCAGGGGTATAGCAGGGGGAGAGAGATGTATCATGGGATTTGTAGTTTCACCACAGCTGGGGGGCCGGAGTTTGGCTACCCCTGAACTATAGCATCCATAGAGATGAATAGGATCCCCTAGAGCAGTGCTCCCCAACCTTTTTATCGCCGCGGACCGGTCAACGTTTGATAATTTTACCGTGGCCCGCTGAGGGGGGGACGTTGATTGTTTATATTTTAGATTGTTTTGATTTAATACATTTAATTTAATTGTATTTAAACATGCCTTCAAAATAAAATAGTTACACCAAAAAATGAATATAAAGTGATTTAACAGAGCAGCAGCGACGCGCCGCTCGGCGCGGTAAGTAAAAAAAAAAACGGTCATGTGACAGCCATAGGAAGAGTGACAGTCATGTGACAGCCATAGGAAGAGTGACAGTCATGTGACAGGAGGCAGTTAATTGATTGTCAACAAAAACACTGCAACTAAGGACAGAGAGATCACTTTATAAGCCCCTCCCCCCGCTTCCAGGTCACGTGTTTAGTTCGCACTCACCCTCATTGTTCCACTCCAGGTGGGTGACCTGCACCTCTCTGTGCCCCACAGCTGAGCTCAGCCCCCTCTGCACAGCGTTTCCGACCAACAGCCAGCTGCCGTGTCAAACTCCCCATTGCGGTGTGAGAGCGCGCACACAAGAACTGCAGGGAGGCGGCGTCGCTGGAACTCGTGACTGACACGCCCCTGCTATCTGATTGGTCTACGCGCTGACAGCGGATCTGTCTCCCTTAAACCAGCCCCGTGGACTCAGGCACAAGGATTTTCCTCACACGCGAGCGCCACCCACCGGAGCAGCAGTGACGCGACGCTCGGTGCGGCACGGTAAGTATTAAAAAAACACGCAAGCTTCGGGGCTTTGTATCGGGGCATTTTGACAAGTACTTGTCAAAATGCCCTGTATCGGTCCCGATACCGATGCTTGTATCGGTATCGGGACATCCCTAGAAATAATTTAATGTTCCTTGGGCGGCCCGGTACCATTTGATCCACGGACCGGTACCGGTCCGGTGGTTGGGGACCACTGCCCTAGAGCAGTGGTTCTCAACCTCTCTAGGGACGGGCCCCTTGGTAACATTTGCCATGTTGTGGTGACCCCCAACGATAAAATCTAGGGATGAAGCGGCTGCTGCAGCGACATCTGGCGGCGTGGTGGGAGAACTGACACTGCTGCGCTAGGAGAGGGCTGAGGAGGACTCTCACCTAGCATAGCAGAAATCACACAGCGACCCACAGCTTGAGAACCACTGGTCTAGTGGCCTTTATAAACACGGTAAATCTTCTGATGGCTGTCTTGTAGGTAGAAAGTGGTAAGTGACCAGCAAACTGTTCATTTGTCATTCTCATAAATATGTCCCTCTACATATAAATTGAGAGGACATTATTTGTCATCAATTACCCAGTATGTGGAAGAAATTACATTGTAGCAAGCAAGATCTAGTCTATAGCAGACTTCTCTTTGTTTTCTTATGCGGGTTACGGTGAGAAGGGACCAAAGTAGGGTATACACGGTTAGAATTTCGTATGAAGAAGTTTCTTCGTTCGAATATCTATCAATTAGAATGATGCAATTGACAGACAAAAATGACAATGTTCCCACAAATTTCCGAAGGAGCATGTTGGAAAATGTTTCTTGATGGAATGAATTCCAAACAGTGAATGTGGTTTTCATTCGGAAATGGCATTTATTCCAAAATATAATGTTAAATAAAAATGAAAATTAAACTAAATTTGGAACGACAATCGTTACGTTTTGGAAGCCATTATCAAACATTCCAATGGTATTTTTCGTACGAAGGCTCATGCAAAAATCTACCTGTGTATACCCTACTTAAGGCATCTAAAAGCCCTCACTCTAATCTTATCTGTGGTATGCACAGATAAACAGAAGGTATTCACGTGTCTCATGCCATCATGCCTGTTGAGTCCCTGTTGAGTGACCTTCAAGGGGCTGATAAAGGAATACACTTACCTCAGTGAAGCTATATTCACTTTAATCATCCAATTATGTATATAGGAATTTCCTATTTTTTTTTACATTTCTCTGTACATGATTGGGTGTTCAAAGTGAACTAGGCAAAGTGAAAATGTTCATTGGTAAATCAATCCCAGTGCACATTTTACATTATATATACATGTGTGTGTGCAAATTTAGAATACACTAGAGCAGAGTGTACAGTATACCTTTTAACTTTTCCCCATGTGTTAAATTAAATCTATATTAGAAAATAAATAGGCTTCCATTGCTGAACTCTTGCAAATGTTAGTTGCCTGGCTGTTATGGTGGTGCCGAGGCTTCAGTATACATGGATTCTGACATCACTTGCTGCATGCAAGTACTGAGGTCAGAAACAGTCAGGCAGCTGGCATTTTAAGAAGGAAGTTATTATATTCATTACAACTGCCATATACAGTTTCCTAAAAACAAAAAGAGGTTAACATGCAGATAGACAGCTGGGTGTTCTGGAAAAGAGCAAGCTTGCTGTGTATCCCCTAAGCGCCGTCACAATAGAAACAAAAAAAACCAAAACACACCATAGGAATGCATAGCTAGATCCCTATTGGCTATTTCACTTTGCAATAGACAATAGCAAACTAGCTATTGCACCCACCCACTGCTGCTGTCAATTACTAGAAGAGAACCTGATGGAGAACAGCAGGTCCCCCTCTGCTGATTGGCAGCAGCAGAGGGCGGGTGCAATAGCTAGTTTGCTATTGCAAAGTGAAATAGCCAATAGGAATCTAGCTATGCATTCCTATGGCGGCTGGCGGTCCCCGATGTCACAGAAAAAAAAAAAATCGCAGGGAAAGGTTTACTCTGCTCGATCGAGCAGAGTAAACCTTTCCAGGAGAAAGTGTTTCTCTCCCGGGCGGCCGGGAGCCGCTATCTAATAGCAGGAGACTCCCGGGCGACCCCTGGCAAATCATCACTCGACCCCCGACAGGGTCGCGACCCACAGGTTGAGAACCGCTGCCCTAGAGCCTGTGCCGCTGGCTTTTGTTCGCTTTTAACAGGTTTCGCATCCAATACAAGTCTATGGGACTGCAAACCTCTGAAACAGGTCAGAAGGAGATCAGGTGCAGATCTAATACACCCGTTAATGAATTCTGAATATAAAACTGATGCCATTGTCACAAGCCCAAAGCATGTCGATACAGAAGCTTATCAGTCACATATTATTAATTTGTAAATTATGTTATTTTTTTTCATGTACTTAATATGATTTGATTCATTTGCAATGCTGAATGAAGCCATAAATAAGAATCCTATATCAGGATTAGTCAGACACAACCTGCACAATTCATTTCATAGCCAAGTGTCATGTCTTCATTTGCAGCTGCCCAACATGGAAGCAGAGTTGCAGTGTTTGACTATGTGGAGCCATCTCCCAAAGGTATGATCATCATTTTTTGCTTAAAAATCAAATATATCCTACATGTTCAGGTGTTTAATAGTGCAAAGTGCAGTAAGCCAATCAGATTTCAGTTGTTTTTCATCAATTTGGATCAGTCTGATTAAAAAGAAATGATTGGCTGCTATGGCATTCAGCAGGGCTAGATGAATCTCACTTGCCAAGGTGACTGGAAAAAGTCTCCTAGTGACCAGGGCATCCTGCACATAAGCTCACCTCTCAGACTTATAGAACTATTCTTAGATTATGGAAAAATATGTCTAGAACTGAGATAAGATGCAATTGATGGAGGTGCCCTCCGCACACCTTTCAGCAGTCCCGGCCAACAATCAAATAAATGGTGCTCGAAGTAACTTCACGGATGGCACCGTGCAAAACACAAGATTGAAGAAAATAGGTCACCAGCACTCCATAAGTTAAAATGAATGAGTCCTTTTAATGGACAATGATGTCACAGAAATCCAACATGAGCCGACGTTTCGGGGCCACACAGGGTCCCTTCTTCAAGGCAAGAGATGTGACCACGTCGGCTCATGTTGGATTTCTGTGACATCATTGTCCATTAAAAGGACTCATTCATTTTAACTTATGGAGTGCTGGTGACCTATTTTCTTCAATCTAGAACTGAGATAAGTTATCAGTCACACAGACCGTACATTGTTTTTAGTGAGTCTGCTGACACATACACATGCATTGTGAGCAGGAGCATTGAAGCACACCTAATGTGTAGCATTGCAGAGCAGGAAGATAAGCTGAGGTTATCCTGAGTTAATATTTCTTATCCCATTCAAATACAACCTTAAATTAGAATTGTTAAATAAGATTGAGGCCTCCCTGCCCCTATGTAACAGTGATGTATGTCTCAACTGCCAGTCACCGAGCAGCAGTGCTGTCACTTGTGAAATACATGCTCCCCATACCCAAAAGTATTTCTTTACATTTCTGGTGGCTGAACAAATTGGTGGGGAGCTACCAATAAAGTTAACTTATTGCTGTGAGCTAAATCTTTGAACCTGAAAATGCTATCCCTGTAGTAGCAATAGTTAGATTTCTTTTCCGATTCCTTCCAGTATTCTAGAATTGTTACATTGTGTCTTTAGTTACTAAGGTGTATTTTTTCCTATCCAGTAATAGCACTTCCCGATCTCATCTAAGGTGACCTGAGTCCACACCTCCCAATTATTGAATTTCAAAGAACCATTTACAATAATGCTATTGTAATGGAGTGTGTTTAGAAAGGACTCAGATATATGTACTTAATAAATATTTATTTAGATTATTGTTATTCTAAAAATCCCATAGTTCAATATAAAACAATCCACTTGTAGTAACATTCATGTAGTTCTCCAGATATCAGAATACTGTCTCTAACGGCTATTGCTGATTCATATACTTATAATCCATATTACAAACATAAATTGTACATTCATTTACATTTACATATTCCATAAAGTTCTTTACAGGTATATCATTATTTGATGAATCCCCTACGCGTTACGCTCACAAAGGCTTCTTCAGGGGGGTGTGTTTATTTTGTTTGTTTGTATCTATCGATTTTCAGCAATAATCTATTTTTTTTTAAAAACAAACGTATAATACAATATAGGTCAATATTCAACCATGAGATCGAAAATCAGCATATAATATATTGTATCTGAAAAAACTTCAATTATTTCTATTTTATACTTGTATATACAGTTCCTTATTTACCATTAGTCAATATAATATACTCGTTATTCTTCATTTGTCAATAGTAACTTCACATTGATATTCATACATGGGTATCTTGTTTACATAGATTGTTTGTCCATCAACATTTATTCATCCATAGTGCATATATTTGATCGTTTTAACCTTAGATTATTCAGTATATATACAGAAATACTTCATCGTTTTTCCTTTGTCATGATATTATTTTAAATTATAATTCTTGGTCTAAATATGCAACAGGTTATTTCTACATCATTCATGTGAACGGTTAATTATTTTACCTTTCTTTCTATTCGGCTATTCGTCCCGAGATTGCATGATCTTGGAGAGGTCTTTCTCTCAGGGTGATGGGGAGTCCCTCATCAGCTCTAGAGAGTGTCACACGGCGGAACCAGAGACGCACAAGGAGTCCAGTGCAGCTTCACAGTGCTAAAAAGTGATTAGAGTGCTTAGTCTAGGTTAGATGTTAGCTTTCCTTTTATGTGTAGTTATTTTAGTTTTACTGTGTGTGTAGTAGTACCTTTCCTCTATTCCTAATTGTCCTCATATGGTTAGCACCTACACTCTTAGGTCCCTATTATGCCCCAGGAGAACTACATGAATGTTACTACAAGTGGATTGTTTTATATTGAACTATGGGATTTTTAGAATAACAATAATCTAAATAAATATGTATTAAGTACATATATCTGAGTCCTTTCTAAACACACTCCATCACAATAGCAATATTGTAAATGGTTCTTTGTATTTTTTCCTATAATCCTCAGCTCTATCTAGGAGCCATAATGAGGTATTTTTCTGATTCACTACTATCCATAATATTTGCAGAACATACCAGAACATACAAGACCAAAACTGCCCCCACCACAGTGCTAATGTAAAGACTTACCTTAAATCAGGGGTGCCCATTAGGTAGATCGTGATCTACCAGTAGCTCTCAAAGCTGATGCTGGTAGATCACGAAGGGTGTGAATGGCAAACCCCTTTTTTCCATTTTGGTATATTTATTTTGCTGTGCACACATGATTACCTATTAGCCTGAGTCTGCTGAGCCAACCTCCCTGACACCTTTCTGGTGGATACTGGTGGTGGAAGTGCTATGTATTACATCAAAGAATATTACTTTACACAGCCAATTGCACTGCACTGTTTGCAAAATACAGCAAGGTGAGCCAGGAGAGAGAGCGGGGAGAGACAGACAGGAGAGAGAGCAAGGAGAGACAGACAGAAGAGAGAGCCAGGAGAGACAGCCAGGAGGATGAGCAAGGAGAGACAGCCAGGAGGATGAGCAAGGAGAGACAGCAAGGAGAGACAGCCAGGAGAGAGAGTAAGGAGAGACAGCCAGGAGAGAGAGAGCGAGGGAGGTTTTTTTCCGTTGGTAGATCTCATGTAGCTCGCCTTTTGAAAAGTAGATCTTAACACAAAAATTGTGGGCACCCCTGATGCCTCTTAATCCGATCATCTTCTTCTTTCCTGTAGTTTTTAGCTGTCCCTCCAGCGCTGACTCCTCTGTCCTCCTCCTCTTCTCTGATGTCCCACGGAGTCTGTGTGGGTGCACGCTGCTCCATAGACTTACCTTGTGTCTCTCCTCGTCTCCCGGCCGAACATCCGGACTGCGCATGCCCCTGCCCGAAGATCCTTTGCCGATAAATTTTCAGATGTTCGGACGGGAGCGCGTGGCGGAGACACAGGTATGTATTAACCCTTTGAAAAGGTTTTGCATATATCTACTGCTTGCTAGCATTAGATATATGCAAACACATGCAAGGGTTTAATAACCCTTTAAGAGCATTTGATTTTGCCCCATCCTCACAGCAGGTTAATTTGCACAGAACGAGAATATTCATGCAGTTTCGCCAGACAAATAGCTATGCATTTTTTTTTTTTTAAATAGACCCTTAGGTGTTTGTCTTTTAGCAGTTCCAGCGGTATGAGTTAAAGTATAACATCTACACAGTGGATTAAACTCTATAGTTTGATAAAGTAAACATTATTCTGTTGATAACATATGTACTGTAGCACTTATCTTGAAAATATTTTTTTAGGCACCAAATGGGGAATCGGAGGGACCTGTGTAAATGTTGGCTGCATTCCAAAAAAACTGATGCACCAGGCTGGTCTGCTGGGAGGTGCCCTGAAAGATGCCCCCCATTATGGCTGGCATGTACATCATCCAACGCAGCACAACTGGTAATGTGTTTCTTCCTCATATTTATTCTTCTGTATGCTCTCTACATACAGCACACCACACAGGAGGTGTTGCATGGCTGCAGTGTTAAATACCCTAAGTCATACTCCGCATTTATATCAAATGAAATGAAAGAAAATAAACATTTTAAAAAGCATCTTCGATGTTTTGTTTATCCAGAGACTTACAGTCAAAGGAAGCATAAGAAAGTGGAAATGAGTTTTGAAGTGATGTCAGATGCTATATACTTGTTTTATTATGTGTCTGAAGTCTTACAGTACATTATATATTGTCTAAATTGTGTATGAAGACACCAGGGGATCTATTTACAAAAGCACTGAAGTCACTATATTGCTGCTTTTTTATCATCCTTTTCTATTTACACCCTTTTACCTGTTTTTAAGCTGTTTTTTTCACTGGTATTTTATTTCAACATTCTTTAAGTGACATTAAAGACAGTTGTCGTCCCCCTCCTCCCCAATGCTGCTTTAAGGACTTACCTTATGTGATGCCTCTTGATCCGAACAGCTTCTTCCTTCCACTCATTTTCCAATGTCCCTCCAGCGCTGGTGCCGGTCTCTTATTCAGCGCAGCTTCCTCGTGTCCCACGGTGTCTGTCTGACGCGCGTGCTACCGCTGCCCGGCTGCATCCATCCAGCTTCAGCTTTGCTCTCCTCCTCTCCCCTCTGACGATCTGTACTGCGCATGCGCCTGCCCACACTTACTTCTTCCGTTTGGGAGTCGGGACTTCTGCAGCCGCGAGCGGTGCTAACACAGGTAAGTTAGTTGGTATTTGCCAACTTTTTTTTTTGTTAATGTTGGGGCATTTATCTACTGATTACTAGCAGTGGATATATGCCTAAACAAATGTGACTTATTTGACTTTAATACTGCTTTAATCATGGCAAAATTCAATGACCTAATGGAATTTGCCAGTTTATAAATAACCTCTTGCCACCTCCAGAATTTCACCTTTTTTATAACTCTAAGACCCCATTCACACTGAGCGACATGGAAATCGCGCGACTTTGAGCGACATTGAGCGACGTGTCGCGCGACTTCTTCCTATTGGGCTGTATGCAATCAGGAGCAATATCGCTCAAAATCGCTCTAAAAAAGGGTCATGTAGAAGCGACAAGCTACCAGCGACGAGCTACAAGCGATATTGAGCGATATTGAGCGACATTGAGCGACGAGATGTGAACAGCTACATTGAAATGTATTGGTGAAGCTACATAGAGCGATATAGTGCGGAAATATGAGCGATATCGCTACAAAAATCGCGCGATAAATCGCTCAATGTGAACGGGGCCTAAGACGTAAGTTATCATTTTCAATAAATGGAAAAAGTATTGTTTATTGGAGTGCTAATTTTCAACGGCCGCTTTATAATTTTTACCTACAAGTTTATACAGCACACGCTAATAAGTACACACATCTTATTAAACCAGGGGTGGACAAATTAATATGGAATTCAGGAGCCAGTCTGTACAATCTGGATTATTTTAGGAGCTGGCTCCATCGACGACAACAAGAGAAAACCTGAAAAGTTAGTCACCAGCTATATTTTATAAGGAGCATTGTCTACCTGGCTCCTGGGACTTGTCCAGCCCTGTTTTATAACAGACTGTTTTTGTAGTAGAGATTACATTGTTCAGGTTTTACTGGAGGTAAATGTAGGCATATGGTTTACCCAACCTTTCTTATGTTAAAAATGCTAAAGTTTGTTAGCATGTTTACCGGGTCTAAGCACAAAACTCTACATAGAAAGCTATGCCTTTTGTGGTGCCAAATAGTTAAACAAGGAAAATAAAATATATACATCATATGCTGAGCTGGGCACAGGAAGTACTTTGATTTCAGCAATACATGCGTTTAATAAAAGTTTCTAAATATAGCAGTTTGTTTGTAGCATAGGTAGGAGGACCTCCTTTTAAAGAAGAACTCCGAGCAGAAAATGTATTAACCCTTGCAGCGGGAATACCCCCGCATTGCAAGGATTAAGTGCTCGTTTTTGCCTAGGGACAAAAAACCCCTCAAAGTTATACTCGCCTAAATCTCTGAGCCAGGCAGATCTTAGACTGATACCTAGAGCGTCTCTCCATCTCCTCTGCAGTGGTCTAGGAATCCCCTAGTCATTACGTGCAGTACAGTGTATTGGACTTGAGGACGCTGAGTAACATACCATTGCTGCAGTGGAGGAGCAGAAGCTGCAGGGAGTGCTGTTGTCTCCAAGGATCAGGTATAAGGATCAGTGCTGCCGGCTCCAAGATCCCCTTTTTTTTTTTTCTTGGCCCCTTGCAAAAAGGAGCAGTACATCCTTGCAGTGTGGGGGCCGCCACACTGCAAGGGTTAATAAAATTTGTACATGGAGTTTTTCTTTAAAGGTAAACAATAATGTTTTTTAGTCATTTTTTAAATTGTTGCTTAAGATTCAACATTATTATAGATATATTTGTACTATACACTATATTGCCAAAAGTATTGGGACACCCCTCCAAATCATTGGATTCAGGTGTTCCGTGAAATTTCCTTGCTACTAAATATTCCACGGTCACCTGTTAGCGGTATTATAACAAAGTGGAAGCAACTGGGAACAACAGCAACCTACCCACGAAGTGGTAGGCCACGTAAAATGACAGTGCGGGGTCAGCGCATGCTGAAGTGCGCAGAAGTCGCCAACTGTCTGCAGAATCAATAGCTACAGACCTCCAAACTTCGTGTGGCCTTCAGATTGGCACAACAACAGTGCGTAGAGAGCTTCATGGAATGGGTTTCCATGGCCGAGTAGCTGCACCCAAGCCTTACATCACCAAGTGCAATGCAAAGCGTCGGATGCAGTGGTGTAAAGCACACCACCACTGGACTCTAGAGAAGTGGAGACGTGTTCTCTGGAGTGACGAATCACGCTTCTCTGTCTGCCAATCCGATGGACATGTCTGGGTTTGGCGGTTGCCAGGACTTGCCTGACAGCATTGTCCCAAGTGTAAAGTTTGGTGGAGGGGGGATTATGGTATGGGGTTGTTTTTCAGGGATTGGGCTTGGCCCCTTAGTTCCAGTGAAGGGAACTCTTAAGGCATCAGCATACCAAGACATTTTGGACAATTTCATGCTCCCAACTTTGTGGGCAGAGTTTGGGGATATCCCCTTCCTATTCCAACATGACTGCGTACTAGAGCACAAAGCAAGGTCCATAAAGACATGGATGAGCGAGTTTGGGGTGGAGGAACTTGACTGGCCTGCACAGAGTCCTGACCTCAACCCGATAGAACACCTTTGGGATGAATTAGAGTGGAGACTGCGAGCCAGGCCTTCTCATCCCAACATCAGTACCTGACCTCACAAATGTGCTTCTGGAAGAATGGTCAAACATTCCCATAGACACACTCCTAAATCTTGTGGACGCCTTCCCAGAAGAGTTGAAGCTTTTATAGCTGCAAAGGGTGGGCCAACTCAATATTGAACCCTACAGACTAAGACTGGGATGCCATTAAAGTCCATGTGCGTGTAAAGGCAGATGTCCCAATACTTTTGGTAATATGGTTTATGTAGACCGCTGAAGTGAGGGTCATGGGTTACTGCTCTAACTTATTCAGTTGTGTGTAAATTGGAGCTTGAACTATGTACACAAAAGTCAGATAAGCCCGGTCTGATAAATGTAAAAGTGAGCTCAGAGCTCCCCCTGCTGGCTGCAAATAATACCAAATGTTAAAATGCTGTATTTCACATTCAAAGAAAAGAAAAAAAAATGTTAATACGGAAATGTGTAAAAACACTACACATTCTATTTAACTAGCCCTTATAGAGAGTGTTTAAATGGTTTATTCTTACCTAAATTTAGGTCAACAATGGCACAAGCTGTTCAGAATTATGTGAAATCATTAAACTGGGGACACCGAGTACAACTGCAAGACAAGTAAGTCAGCTTCAATTATTCAAGCCTGTAAATGTTATTCCTCAAGCATTTTTTCACCACGTTATCACAGCTTATACCACATGAGATAACTTTCTGCCTAAAGTGACCAACACAGGATCACTTGTATGTAAAACATATCGGCACACAAACGACTGCATGTGCTCACCTTGCAGGCGACGCTAATCTTAAAAAGCCTCCGTGTTACAGCATACTGTCCTCTGTGAGTATTTATCTGGCCGTGTGGCTCAAATACCTGTTTCACTTGGCTTTCAAGAAATGGACCACTGGAAAGATAAGTATATGCAGTATTGTTTTTGCAGGTATGTTTTACATAAAATGACCCTGTGCTGACTTGATTTTACACTATGAAAAATAACCAAACAAAATATATTCATGAACACAGGGCTTCACAAATTTATTTTGTATCTAGGAGCCAAATAAAAAGTTAGGAACCAGGTTTAAAAAAAAAAAACTAACAAAGCTTTATGTTCATGTTTCAGTTACAGTTTTAATTGGCACATGCGGCAATACCTGACATGTGCAGTGCAATCGCTGTTTTCGTACATAGGTGCACCCGGCTTGTGTTTCCGTAACTTTTCTTTTTCTTACCCCTAGTGCAGGGATGTCCATACTGCGGCCCTCCAGCTGTGGTGGAACTACAAATTCCACGAGGCTTTGCTAGATTCTCACAGCCACAGACATGACTCGCGGAGAGAGATGCTTCATGGGATTTGTAGTTCACCACAGCTGGAGGGCCAGAGTTTGGACATCCCTGCCCTAGTGTCACCATTCCACTTTAATAGCTTTAGCTGGGGGATGACAGCTGCCTGCTGAGGTAGCTGAATGTAAACAAAGCAAGCCGTGGCTGGGAGCAATAGCCAGCCTGCTATTGGCTATTTCAAATTGCAATAGCAGGCTGGCTATTGCACCCACCCAGTGGCGTAACAACCGGGGGTGCAGCAGGGGCGCGGGCACCGGGCGAAAAGTGAAGGGGGGGCGCCAGCCGAAAATGGCACTTTCGGCTAAATGCCGAAAGTGACATTTTCCTGCCGTTTTGTCGGCGCGGCCGTGATTCCTTTCATCCCCGCTGGGACACAGAGCAGTGCCCAGCAGGGATGAAAGGAATCAGAGAGAAAATGACAGCCGGCCGAGCGCTGCGGGACGAGCGCTGTGAGCGGCCGGTGTCTTTCCTCCCACACCGCTCGGCCGCCTATCACAGTGCAGCAGAGCGGTGTGGGGGCGGAGACAGCCAGCGCTGTCACAGGAGGCTGGGCTCTCCTCTCGCAGCCTCCTATG